GGGGGCGCCACGCCTCTGGCAGCGCCTGCCGAGGGAGCTCCGTCTCGGGTGAGCGAAAGCGGCAGGACGAAGCCGGGGAAGAGAGGTGCGTCCGGCTGGGGAGCGGCTCAGACACAACTCCTTGACCCAACTACTGTAACTCTTGCACAGGAAAGCGAGCCGGCTTACGTTGCCCTGCTGTGCATTCCGACTCAGAGGTAAAGGCAGCGGTGTCGTCCGGTCTCCTCCGCACCTCGACTTATCTACTTACTTGAAGGGATCGTCCCAGTCCACCTAAATGACTTGCTTCAGGCTATCTTGCTGTGGGCGCATTAGAAGAAGATAAGACTCACTGGTAATGCAAAGAAAAGTTGAGAGCAAGAGGAAGAGAGGAAGACCAAATACCAGATAGATTGACCCCATAAAGGAATCCCCAGCCTTGACTTTGCAAGAGCTTAACAAGGCTGTTAAGCACTGGAGCTTTGGGGGGGGGGTGTCACTAAGTGGCTTAAAAAGCAGAGACACCACCTTGCTGACAAAGGTCTGGATAGTCAAAGCTATGGTTTTTCCAACAGCGATGTATGGAAGTGAGAGATGGACCATAAAGCAATCTGACCGATGAAGAATGGATGCTTTTGAATTGTGGTGTTGGAGGAGGCTCTTGAGAGTCCCCTGGACTGCAAGAAGATCAAATCTATCCGTTCTGAAGGAAATCAACCCTGAGTGCTCAAGGGAAGGACAGATCCTGAAGCTGAGTTTTCAATACTTTGGCCGTCTCATAAGAAGAGAAGACTCCCTGGAAAAGTCCCTGATGTTGGGAAAGCGTGAAGGCAAGAGGAGAAGGGGACGACAGAGGATGAGATGGTTGGACAGTGTCATCGAAGCAACCAACATGAATTTGGCCCAACTCCAGGAGGCAGTGGAAGACAGGAGGGCCTGGCATGCTCTGGTCCATGGGGGTCACGAAGAGTAGGACACAACGACTAAACAACAACAAGTGGTAGAGATGCCATAGTGGGGGCCAACTTGACAGCACTGAAGGACAACAGTCTACTCAATGGAATCTTGCTAGCTGAGAAATGAAATTAAACAAAGATTTAGAAGCTGTGTCTATTAAAAGGATAGTTTTCTCCAGCCACGGATGATTGGAGAAAACTATCAAAAGCATGCAAAATGCAAAAATGCATTTCCCATATAGGAAACAAACAAAAATCATTTTACAAATGCTCATTCCTTGAAAATATGCCACATAGAGATGCATAACTTTTTCTTGTCTTGGGGACACTGCTAGGGTGCCACATGAAGCATCAATGTTTCCACTCAGTAGCTTCTGCCCAACGCCCCTCCCTTCAAGGTGCAGAGATAGTGAAGTTTTTAATTTCTCCAGTTTGCCTACGGGGACTAGGGGTTGGGACAGGGCAGGGGACTCTGGCATCTGCCAGGACTCTACAGTCAGGCGGTCATTTCTGATGTGCAGCAGGAACATCACAACCTCAAAAGCCAGAGAATAGTATTTGTTGCCGTGCAATCCAGAACAGCAAACTAAAAGACATGAACAGGGTCCCTCCAGCTTGGTCTACAACCTGCAGCCATTCTTAGTGACATATTTGCATGTTTTTGTATGCTGACATATGGACTATGAATGAGATAACCCATTTAATTACTAACCATTTTCTTCTTATTCTTGTGATTAAATTCTGGATTGTGGTAGCTCTAATAAGCACAGGAGTCAACTCATTGGTGAGTAGGGGGTGGGGTTAGCTTACTTCTAAGTTACTATTTTATCCCTGTCCTGAATCATTTCATTCAGTGAGACTTCAGGAAAAACGTTCTATATTTCCAACCTGATGTTCTAAAATGAGAGGTGCCAGGAGTCACACCCTTCACCTGCCAGGCCCAGTACTAGCTCTAAACAAGCAGAATCTGTGTAGGGCACTTTTTAACTTAAGCTGGGGGGAAAAAGTTCTAAAGAAGAGTGCACCCCTATACTTTCAGTTTGGAGACAAAGTACTGCATGTGACTTCTTCAATAGAGAAGTTTTCATACCCACCACCTGCAACACCTTATCTTGTCGGTAAAGGTAAAGGTTCCCCTTGACAATTTTGTCCAGTCAAGTTCAACTCTAGGGGATGGTGTTCATCTCCGTTTCCAACCCATAGAGCTAGTATTTGTCCAAAGATAATCTTCCTTGGTCACGTGGCCAGCGTAACTAGACACGGAGCGCCATTTACCTTCCCACCGAGATGGTACCTATTTATCTACTTGCATTTTTGCATTTTGCATGCTTTCAACCTGCTAGGCTGGCGGGAGCTGGGACAAGCAACGGGAGCTCACTCCGTTGCGTGGATTCGATCTTATGACTGCAGGTCTTCTGACCTTGCAGCACAGAGGATCCAACGGTTTAACCTGCAGCACCACCATGTCCCTTGTCAATAGGGGTGTCCTTTTTTAAAAGAAATCTGAATAGCAATTACATTTCAAAAATGAAATATCTTGCATTATAGCAGATGAAACTTCGAGTGAAGAAAAATATATCTTCTGAGATATCTGCCACCCATTGCTTGTGCAAGCAGTTGCTTTCAAAAAAATATTAGCTGTTCTAAAATACTGTGCTGTTCAGCTAATTAAGGACAGCTTTTTAGTCAACCAGAAGAGTTTAAATGAATCAGTCTAATCCATTAATTCAGTAAATGTTGTGGCCTTTCTTTTTAAAACTCAACTTTCCCAGGAAAGGCTAGAAAACACAAAACTATCAAAAGGATCTAGTACAAGCTGGCTGCCCTGGGCCAGGACTCTTCCTTGTCCTGAGAGGAGCTGATTCTGTCTAAAATGAAGGAGCTTCCATCGTTCCAATGAAGGCCGGTTCCTATAATATGTATTTTTTGATGTGATGAAGGATCCAAGTGGTGACATATGTAAGCAAATATTCAAGCCCGCACCACAGACAGAATGTTCATATTAAGTCAAACAGAATGCATCTCATTGGAATTTCTTGAAGCACAGCTGCAGATCTAGTGCCAGAGTAATTCAGTGCTTTAGTTCCCTACACCTCTCACCAGTACCAGCTAGCCTTGCCAGTGACAGGGTATCCTGGGGATTTCTATCTGATAACAGCTGGAAGGCCAGACGTTTCCTTCTGTTCTGATTGAGACCGTACCTGAGTTGGCTGTGTGCAGGCTCTCAAGTGGACTTGCAAGAGAAAAGCAAATAATAATTCCCCTCATTGCCCCCTCTTGTCTTCTGCTGCTTCCAGGGAGAAATTGTCCCTTTGTCATTTCTTTAAAAGCACATATAGACCGTCCTAATACACTTTTAAAAATTCCCTTCCTCGGCCCCTCAGAAAGCCAAGGAAGTGTTTAATCTGACAATATCCTGAAATGGCTTTCTTCTTAAGACATTTTATGATCCTCGCAAATTGACAGTGGGCCGGTATGGACTAGGATTGCTTCAGGTCCATATGCCATTTGGGTGCAAAGATCAAACCAAATGGCACATTGGACCTCACAGCAACCCTATGGGAATCATCTCCATGTTGTTTAATATCTATATGAGGCCTCTGGGTGAGGCCATCAGGAGTTTTGGAGCTCCATGTCACTAACATGTGGGTCACACCCAGCTCTGTCTCTCCATCTGACCCTTCTGCAGAGGATGTCTTCCCATCCCTTGAGCATTGCCTGGATGCTGTGCTGGCATGGATGAGGGATAATAGACTGAGGCTGAACCCAGACAAGACAGAGATCCTGTGAGTGGGTGCCCCTAGTGTCTGCAGGTATGGGGCCTCCCTTTCATTTGTTGGGGCTGTGAAGGACGAAGTTCACAGTCTGGATGTGCTCCTGGACCTTGTGCTATTGATGGAGTCTCAGGTAGCGTCAGTGGCCCAGGCAGCTTTTTTCCATCTGAGGCAGATCACTCGGCTGCTTCCTACCTTGATATCAGGGTACTAACTATGGTGGTTCCTGCACTGGTAGTCTTGAGACTAGACTATTGCAGTGCTCTCTATGTGGGACTGTCTATGAGGCTGCTAATGGAAACTTCAGCATGTCCAGAACATGGTGGCTTTCAATATATCAATATATATCCCCTACACTAGTCTCCTTGCACTGCTTACCTGTCGGTTTCCATGCCAGTTTCAAGGGGATGACTCTGACATACAAGGCCTTAAACGGTTTGGGATCTCGATACCTGACAAAATACCTCCTCTCCACGAGATCTGCCCAACCTATTTGATCTTCCCTGGCTGGGAGGTTGAGACCACTCACCCCAAGAGAGGCCCGGAAGGAGAAGACTAGAAACTGGCCCTTCTCAGCGGTTGCCCCTCATCTCTGGAATGATCTCCCACCTAAAATCCACCTGGCCTCTTCACTGGGAATTTTAAAACATTCTTTGAAGACATGGCTTTTTAGACATGCTTTTCCGGAATTTACATCTGAATAATGTGTTGCACTTTCAGTGCTTATTTCTGTTCACCCATCTTGCCTCTTAAATGGTTTATATCTATGTTGATTTTATTTATGGTGTATGTTGCATTTTTATTTTGTGTCTGATTTTACATAATTGAATTTATATTTGTTATTGATGGTTGTAGTTCATTGATACATTATATTTTGGTTTTTCGTTTTTTTGAGTGTAACCCAGCCAGAACAGCCTTGTAACCAGATAGGTGATATAGAACTCAGACGA